TGGAAAGTATTCTTCCCATCCCCTTTCCATCTTGCTCTCCAATGGCCAGGAAGTGGCTGATGTACAGAATATCACCAATACTTTCGGTGAGAGCTTTTCTCGTGCATCCAGCACTTCAGTTTTGTTCCCCCACCTTCTTGGCCATTAAGTCTCGGGCAAAGTGATTGCCTCTTTCCTTCTGGGCTGATCGTCTTTATAACTATAATTGCCCCCTTACACTGGTGGAACTCAAACTTGTCCCTTCATCGGTCTTGCAGTACATCTTTCAAACCTGATGATGTTCACTATGATATGCTGCACCATCTCTCTCCTGCCTCTCTTGCTCTTCTTCTGGTTGTTTTTAACTAGATCTGGCAGGGTAACATTTTTCCTGATGCTTGCCACCAGGCTCTTGTCCTCCCATTCTCTAAGCCTGGGAAGAATCCAAAGATTTATTATTATTATCGTCCAATTGCTTTGACTAGCTGTCTCTGTAAGGTCTTAGATAGGATGGTTAATGCTCGTCCTGTTTGGTTCCTCGAATCAAACAACCTCCTCTCACTAACCCAGTATGGGTTCTGTTGACAGCGCTTCACCATGGACCACCTGATTTGACTTGAAACCTCAATAAGGAAAGCCTTTCTCCAGAGGGAACGTCTTGTTTTTGTTTTCTTCGATCTTGAGAAGGCTTACAACACTACATGGAGGTACAGGATTTTGCATGACACCCACTCATATGGGTTGTGTGGCCATCTACCCATTTTTATTCAGAACTTTTTACTCGACAGGTGATTCCAAGTCATTGTGGGGGTAGACAGTTTCCTGTTCTTTCACGCAGGAACTTGGAGACCCTCAGAACTGTGTCTTTAGTGTCATACTTTTCGGTATTAAGATCAATGTTATCACTACACAACTTCCTCTTACTGTTGCTAATGGACTCTATGTCAATGACTTCCACATCTCATGTAGGTCATCGAACATAAGGTTTAATGAGCAGCAGCTTCAGACTGTCCTCTATCACTACTTTTTTGAAGTCGACCACAGCAAATGGTTTTACATTTTCTTTTTCCAAAACTGTTTGCATGCATTTTTGACATCAACGGGGTATACACCCCGATACTGAACTCCATCTCAGTGATATCGTTTTTTCCGTAGTCTCTGACACAAAGTTCTTGGGGCTTATCTTTGACTGTAAGCCTACTTTCATTCCTCACATGAAGAAGCTATGTGTCAAATGTACAAGGGCACTAAACATGCTCCATGACCTCTCTATCACCTCTTTGGGAGTGGATCGATGTTCTGTGTTCAAGATCTGTTGTGGCCTTATTCAATCCAAATTGGACCTTAGATTTGAAGATGCTCGACTCCATTCACCATCTGGGGCTTTGGCTCTGCATGGGGACATGCTGCACTTCTCCAGTCCAGAGTTTGTACATTGAGTCCCATGAACTTCCTCTTCACCTCTGCGGTTTGCAACAGTATTCTACCAAGCTTCGATCCTTACCACAGTATATCATCTGGGATTGTGTCCTTCTTCCATGGTAGGCTGTGCCCTTTCAGAACAGATGGTCATCAATTTCTACCTTTAGCCTTTGTATCCAGGCACAACTGGCTGAATTGGGTCTCACATTGGATGACGTTGCTGTCCCCGATGATCAACCTATTCCATCATATCATGTGACCTTTCCTTGAGTCATCTGAGGAAGGCAGATACTCCTGATTGGAAGTACCATTGTCTCTTTGCTGAACATATTTTGAAACATTCTTCTATTCCTGTTTATACGGATGATTCAAAATCAGGTGACTCTGTGTGCTCTGCCATGGTTTGTTATGGCTCACTGGTTGCTCACAGAATCCCCTCTATCATTTCTGTGTTCATTTCAGAGTTGTATGCCATTTCTCTTACCCTGGATCATGTAGAAGCTATTCAGTACAGCGATTGTACTATTTACACTGACTCTTTTAGCTCTCTATTGGCCCCAGAATCTTTTAACGTTAGTTCTCACCAATATTCAACAATGACTGGCCCATTTTTCTCTATCTTCTGTTTCCCATTCAGTTTTTCTGAATACCTGGCCATGTTAATATTTGCAGAAACGAGCTCACTGACACTGCAGCTAAGTCCATCTGCTCCAGTGCCATCACAGCCATGCCTGTCCCATATATGGACTATGGTCCTGTATTCAAGGTGTAGCTTCATGCCAGTTGACAGTCGATGTGCAGTGAGCAACATCATAACAAGCTTTTCCTGATCAAAACTTCTGTTGCTCTTTGGCCATCTTGTTTCCATAAGGATCGGAAGGAGGAAGTTGTCCTGACTAGGCTAAGCATTGGTCACAGTTTTTTTAACTCATCATTTTCTTTTATCTGGTACTGACCCACCAATGTGTGGCCTTTGTGACACTCAAATCACAATAGCCCACATTTTGCTGTTGTGCTGTCGTTACGACCGTGAGCTGAGGCACCGTTTTCGAAATATACTTTCTACGGGTTTACCCCTGTTGTTAGACAGTGTCATTGGCGATTGTGACACTGTAAAACTTGATTGTATTTGTAAATCTTTATGAGCCATTGGCCTTTTTAATTCTATTTAAATCTTTTATCTGAATTTTGGACATTGTTTAGTTTTAACTCAATTTATATTTACATTTTATAATAATTTTACTTTCACGGTTTTTACCGGTTGTTTGGTGCAAATAGCCTAGTTATAAAAAAATGTCGAACAACCAAACCAAAACAGGTATGCTTTCTTCCAAATCTGCACTAGCTACCAGATGACCTATTAAAAATATCCTGGTAGCAATGAGCTCTGTTGAGATGAGGTGTTTTATAAGACCACCTTGGGCACTTCCTGGGTGCTAAACAATTATAACACAAAGACAAATACACTACTGGACCACCACTTATGGACTATCAGGAGTAAAGCTTAAGAGGATTTTTTCCCATCCCTACTGAATAAATTGGAGTCTGTTTTTTGAAATAGAACGTGGTTCATCTATTGCACTGTCTCTGATGCATTGTTCCTTAGGACTCCCTAACTATTTTTTCTTTTGCTAAGTTATGTATTTTATCAATATTTTGTTTTTCCTTTGTAAAAATTTTTTGTTTCACCTTGTTTTCCTTGTACCCTCTATTTTTGCATAAACTCTGGTCATGGTGCATCAACTGTTTACAGTTACTTGTAATGTTTTTATTTATTTACTCAAGTTTGAATGTACCAGATCGTTATTAATAGCAAGTGTTCATCATTTGGGTATCCTTACTGTTAACAATGATTTTGGCAGTATTTCCCAATAATGCCTCATGAGTTGTGGCCAGTGTAGTTGAATTGGTTTAAATCAGTATATTCTGCCTCAGTGCAAAATGGTTATTTTACAAATATAAAGTATCAAATTATCCATTAAGTTTAATCAAAAGCATTTTATTAAATCAATTAAAGAGGCCAACATTCACGGGCAAATGCAACATGTCTCTGCCATGCAATCCTAACATGGGCAATTATGACATCAGAAAAATTGAAAACTGTCTATATCACTGCTTGGAACCTACAAGTAGGGATCTTTGTATCAAATCCCATGTAAGTGAATAGTTCACAAAAACCCCAAATTGTGCTTTTCTTACTGAAAAATTGAGAAAAAGACAGAAATTACAAAAATGTCTATATCTCTGTTTGGGACCATTAAAAAGTAGCTTTGTACTAAATCCCACGTAAGTTGGCAAAAATATGGCAGAATAATTCTAAAAAAAAACGCCTAAAATTATGTTTTTGTGGCTCGTTTATAAGTACTAGAAGTTCAACATTTTTGTTGGTCAATCTGTGTTACCTTAAGAAAAATATCTTTGAATGAAATTCCGTGTTTATTGGTCAAAATATATCTGAGTAATTGACCAAAAACCACAAAATTATGTTTTTTTATTAGCTCTGTCTCCCTCAAAATGGACAAATCCAACTATTTCTCATATTTCAGCATGTTGGATGCATGTAAATTTATAGTTGAACGAATTTTCATTTTCATTGCTGTAAAAATTACTGCACAAGAACCCAAAATATATATTTTTAAGTTGTTTGATCTTTGACCCCATAAAGTCTTTAAAAAGGCCAAAAAAAATGGTATTAGACTAGGGTATAAGTCTACCAAGTTTCAAGTCAATTCAACAAGAAATGAAGGAATAACAGTTGATTAAAAAGTGTTTGGAAGAAGGAGAGAGAAAGAAAGACAACGAAACAATAAAATAAGAATATTTCTCTCTGGAGAGAGATAATAAAATCAAAGAATGGTCTGCTACTTTCCAAATGTATTTAAGTTGTTGGTTTTATGTATCAGGTACTTTAACTGAAAAGGCATTTATATCTTAATATTAGAAATGTTCTTCTTCATGCTATAACCTATTTCTCTGTAGCTTAATTTGGTGAAATATTGCATCAGTCAAATCAAACCTTGTACATTTAGGAGATTAATGAACAAAATAGGAACTTAATACGTGTTAAAATGTAATTTTTAAACGGTTAATCATTTTATTTGAATCTGTGGTCTCTGACAGTTTTTATACTGTTAAGCAGTATATTTAAGAGCAAATATATGTCATGTCAATAGAAAAATTGATACTAGTAAGTTCAAGTTAGGTTATTTGATGTTACACATTTTTTATTTGTTATAGTCGATACATCTTCCACTAGCTTATGTTATTTATCTACTTTGAGACACACAGCTATTGCTTTTAAACTTTTTTTCAATCACATTTATTCCACTAGTAATTGTTTTTACAAATTTAATTTATGTTTATCTGTGTAGTAGATGTGTAGAACAATTTTCTTTCAATTATGTATACATTTTCCATGCTGTTACCAATGTAAGTATCTGTTTAAAGAAAGAACATCTTGTCTGTATTGATTTAGTTTACCGATATAGAAAGTAAACTGGTAAAGCTGTCATGAAATATTCTGTATGTGTTAAATAATTATTCTCTGAGAAGATCTGTAATTTTTGACTTATAGACAAAAAAACATTTTTCTTTGTTAGGTCGGATATACCGTTGCTTGTTCACTGGCTCAGTAAGTTCACTTCTAACTTTACCACTGGACATGTTATCAACGTAAGTTCTTAAATACTACTTTATTTCAGATAACTTATTGCCAGTGGCCCAATTTATGAAATTCAGCAAACAATATCACTGCATCAATATATATATATATATATATATATACATTG